TTTTCACGCAATCTCATGATTTCCCCACCCGCCCTTGGGGCGTGATCTTTGGGCGTTTGGGGTTTGGCAAAGCTGTCCCAGTGATTAACACTACCAGGCTCGGAAAGCGGGGCTGTAGCGCAAGGCAGAATCAGGTCCCTTTACCACTTGGGAGCAAAGGGCAGAGCGAATGGGTGACATTGCATTCAGCCAACCATTCAAAAAGGTTGGTCTTGTTTCTCCCCAGAGGTAAGCTAGGAAAAGCCGGTGACAAGCCATTAAGTGGGTGACCAGGGACAGGGTGTCCAGCTGTCCTGATAGGAGGCACTTTGGCTTAAATAGGAAACTACCCTGCTGTCCTCCACAAAAAGGAAAGTGTCCCGATTTTTCACACTAGCCAGGGCTCAGCGCCCCTGGGGGACCCTGCACAGCTCGGCGGGAACAGCTCTCATCCTAGCGCCTTATTCTGGGACACAGGCACTGTCAGCCACAAGGAATCAGGCCACTTTGGAAGGGAATTAGCGAATTAGAGCCATTTATTCCCCACGAGCGTGGCCACGAGGGGGCTGGAGTCACCTGGGTGGATCCGGGTTTGGAGCATGGCTGAGGGGACTTGCCAGAGAGTAGCCATGGGGTCGGATTAGTCAGCACAGTCCTTTTGAAACTGACACCCCAAACCGGACCCCAAACTGGCATTTTGGTGTGTGTGTGGGGGTTGCTTGTTATTTCTTCCCCCTCTCCCCCTGCTTCCCATTCTTCGTGGAGAGACAAGGGTGACAAAGCTGGAAAACTGTTGGTGAATTTTGAAGGAAACTGTTTTTTTGGTGGGGGGAATTTTTTGTTGTTTAAAGTTATTTTTCAGCCCACCAAAATGACTCCACATATTTGAGCAGTTCTAACAAAAGATGTCGTATTTGGGGGGTGTTTAGGTGCCTCCATGTCCCATTTTCTGCACTGCTCCCAGGGCTAGTGTCGTGTCTTTTGTTTTCTCCACCACTGCACCCATGGTGAGAGACCACACAGGCCTCAACTTCGCTAATTGTACCCCTGCTTCTCGGGCTGGGTCTGAGCCCAGTGAACCCCCCCAGTCAGCCTGCACCCCTGGGAGGCTGGCCTGTTCGCCATGATTAGCAGGGGGTTCCTCTCACTGGGCTGGGGGATCTGTACCGGGCTACTTCCAGACAAGTCGTGTAAACAAATTCCTGACTGCCAAGTGGCCAGAAAGAGTCAGGGGCTGGGTGTTAACAGCTGCAGGTCCTGGGCCAGGTACTTATGGGGGGAGGGGGAGGGTGATGTGCCTGAGCCATGAGGGTGCTTTTCACTGAAGGGACAGTCTCTGTGTCCATGCAGCATCCCATGATCTCAGCTGGGGCAGGGACGGTCTCTCACAGTGTCTGTCCAAGTGAAGGCACTCCTTCCTCATCACAGATTCCTCAGTCACTCCATGCTTATGGAGACACTGCAATCCAGCCCCCAAATTTCAGGCAGACACTGCCACCAGCTCCTGTGGGCACATTGGTCACACTACACATGAGATGCCTCCAAGTGTGGTTCGGTTCGATTTACAAGCCAAACAGAGACAGCATAAACAAACTACTATTGATGCCCAGCAAGACCAAACAATCTTTGGATTGTTGGAAAGACCCAGCCAACGCCTGCACGGGAATCTCCCATCACTTCTCCTGACCACCGACGCATCCCTCACAGGATGGGGTGCACATCTCAATGGTCTCACAGGGCAGGGCAAATGGTCCCCATCCAAGATGTGCCTGCACATCAACCTCAGAGTGGTCAGGAACGCATGCACTCACTTCCTCCTGCTGATCAGAGGCACACACACAAAGGTCGTGAGAGACAGTATAGCCTGTATGTATTACATAATCCAGCAATGGGGCACCAGATTGCCCTCCCTGAGCATGGAAGCACTAAAGCTGTGAAACTGGTACATTTCCCACAGTGTCACAATATCCACGGCCTACCTACCACAAGAGCTTAACACGACAGCACACAGTCTCAGCTGCGAGCTCCCACATGACCGAGAATAGGAGATAGATTCGGTGATATGGTGATACGCCACAACAAATTCTGGCAATAGGGGACATCCTCAACAGAGCTGTTTGCTACTTACCAGAACAAGAAATGTACTGGGCCAGAGCAGAGATCGGCCAGCGCTCCATGGGGGATGCTCTCCGCCTCTCATGGGACAAGGGCCACCTTCACATGTTTCCTCCATTCCCTCTATTGCTGAAAGCCCTATTGAAAATATAAAGGGAGAAAAACATCATACTTATTGCTCCCACCTGGCCTAGACAGATGTAGTACCCTAACCTGTTGCAGCTAGTCCACCAGTGACTCTTCCAACCTCTCCTTACCTCCTCTCACAGAACGAGACATGCACTCTCCATCCCAACCTGTGGATACTGTGGCTCAAAGCCTGGCTGGCGCCTTCATGATTCCAGCAAATAGAAATATCCTGCTCTGATGTGGTACAGGAAATGTTATTACTCAGTAGGAAAGGGGCTCCACATCATATCTACCTACAAAAGTGGACTAGATTTCAAATCTGGTGCCAGTCCAAAGGAATCACCCTGGATACAGCCACAATACCTGTAGTCCTAAAATATTTGATGACTGTCAAGAAATGTCAAGATTCTCTATTAGCTTGCTGAAAGTACACTTAGCAGCAATAGCGACCTTCTACCAGCAAGTAGCAGGATACTCAATTTTTCCCTACCCAACTACAAAGAGCTTTCTCAAACGCCTAGCAATCTGTTTACCCCACCCCAGGCTTCCTACTCCACAATGGGATCTCAATCTCACATTAAAAGGATTGACTAGACCTGACTGTCCTTTGACCCCATGGCCACTTGTTCTTTCACTCACCTGTGATCGCCATCTCCTCAGCAAGAAGGACAGAGGGGATAGCAGCTCTGATGGCGCATCTGCTCTTCACAGTGTTCTTCCCTCACAAAGTCACTCTCAGACCACATCCAAAGTTCACCCCGAAAGTGACTTCTGCGTTTCGTATGGACCAACTCATTCGCCTTCCAACCTTTTATCCCAAACCTCCATATGCTCGACATGAGGAGAGCCTTGGCCTTCTATTTGCTCAGGGCAAAAGTTTTTAGAAAATCTCCAAGACTCTTCTTCTCCATTGAAGATAGGTTGAAAGGCACAGCGATTTCAGCTCGAAGACTCTCCAAATGGGTCTCAAACAGTGTCAGGCTCTGTTACCAGAGTCACAATTTAGCACCCCAATCCACAATATGCACACTCTATGAGGTCAGTCTCCTTGACCATCGCCTTCTCCAAGGGTATCCCTGTACCCAAGATCTGCAGAGCAGCTACCTGGGCATCTGCTCACACTTTTGCTGAAAACTATGCCATTTTGGAGAACTCTGCTAGAACCATCCTCCTGAGCTGCAGCCAAGCCCCATGCTCAGGCAAGGTGTGACTCTGCTCCACGCGGTGTCAGACACACCCAGGGGCTGTGTGAGTGCAGTGCACCCCTGACGCTGTAGTCCCACATGCTGATAGTGATTCCTTACTGGGCAGCCTCCTCCATGGTGAGCACAGTGTGTGCGGTGAGCATGGGCTCCTTGCACACCAGGCAGGTGTGTGTGTGTGTGTGGGGGGGCGATCCTCCTTGCAGAACAGTTTCAGAGCCTCCTGGTGTCTCACACATTCTCTCCCCATCGGGCTCGTTCGCTGCCTGCAGCCCTAGTCGTTTCACTAACTTGACCATGTTCCCCAGCTCCCTGTTGGGCTGCAGGTCTCTCTGCTGGGTGGTCTCTCTGCACTGGGGGCAGGAGCAGTTTGGCTCCAACTCCCCCCAGCACTGGCTGATGTGCCCACAGTCAATAACCACCAGGTCTTTGAAATCCTCCCAGCAGACACAGTACATCTCTTTGGCATGAATGCACAAAAGAAGTCAGTGTTGTGAGTTATCGGTGCTTGGAAAAATCACTGTGATGCACAAAGCCTACGCTAGGCTCCTCAGCGCCTGTGCACTGAGTGGGGAGAGACAGGTGCCTTGGATTATGTCTACACTGCGATTGGGAGTGAGCATCTCAGCCCAGCTAGAGCGACTCAGGCTAGCACACTAAAAATAACAGTGTGGATGATGTGGCAGCCTGGCCTCTCAAGCCCACCTGGCCCCGTCGGTCTGATTTCAGATGGCTAAGGCCGAAACCTGCACCAGAGCCATCATGGCCACACTGTGACTTTTAATACACTAGCTCCATCCCAGCTAGCACAACCGTGTCCACGTGGGCTGGAAGGCTCACAGCCAGCTGCAGGGTGTACATACCCTATCCGATAAACTGCTTCCAGCACAGAGGTTACTCAGTGGCATATGGGGGGTTGTGTTTAATGCATCTCAAATTTCACTTCAGCCTCCAGAACTGAGTAAATTATGAAAAGAAGCCAAAACTTTAACAATCCCCCCTAAAGCCCGTGCCACTGAATTTGGCAAGGACAAATTTGACGTTGACGGCAATGTCATTCTGTACAGTATACAGTAAGGCTACAGATTACAAATTGCAATGCTATTACTTGTATTTTATTATAATGATTGATGGGACTGGCAGGCTTCGAACCTTGCTTAAAACCTGTAAATATATCAATAAAACATTGTGCTCAACCGAAACCTACAGATATTGTGGCTAGTGAAACTGAATTTCAGTGTTCGATTTTAACAGCAGAAAAACATGGATTTTTAAATCCGATAATTTGGAGGGGGGGGGTTATCATGGAAAAGTAGAACCTCTGGTTATTACTAACTAGATCCCTAGTGGGCAAGGCTTCATACCTCATTCCCTGTGCCAGCCAGTCCCCCCACCCCGGGGCTGGACTGGAACTGGTGCCCCCTAGGGGGAAAGACTCCCTGTCCCAAGCAATGTAGTGTCCTAGTCTTGCTCCCTGCTGATGCCTCCGCATATGCAGCGTCACCCGTGGGGGCTTACGCTGCTGCACGCCGTGCTGGCCTAGCCCTGCTGAGCGCTAGAGGGCTCCAGGTGATGCTTTGTCTCTTCCTTGTTCAGCTTCCCGGCTCAGAGCCTGCTACTGTCGCCTCCATTGTGAGCCGGGAGTCCTGACTGAACCGCTGCTGCGCCCCAGCGGGGTGTGTGCGGGGAGAGCCCTTCCCTAGCGCCCCTCGGGGCCAGCCGGGGGGACTTTCTCCGGGGGCTGGAACCAGCTCCGGGCTCTGCCGACACCAGCCCCTGAGCTGGAGCCTGCAGGTGAGGGGAGAGACCCGGGGAAGGGGCTGGGGCCGGGGGGGAAAGTGACTCCGCACCAACGGCCCCTCCTCGCCCCAGCTCTGCTCCCGGGGGGGGCGGGGGTCTGCGAGTCCCGAGCTGCCGCCCTCCTTGACCCCCCCAGGCTCTGCCCCCCTGAGCGCCTGCAAGAAGCCGAGCCAGCTCCGGGGGCCTATAACACCAGGAACGCCCCTGTATGCGTGTATGTTTGTCTCTTATCATTCGACTGCCTGAAAGCAGCCCCTTGGGCTGTAGTTAATCTAAAATAGAAAGTGGGTTTGGGGAATAATCCGATTGTTGTTTCAAACGAGCTCTGCTATTCAGATGCATGACTGGGGGGTTTATTAATGAGCCATAAATTACTCTTTAATATGTGTACAGCAAAGCTCAGTCTGTCATTAGATAATAATTACTAATTGTTCACATTACTGAATGCACTAAGGTCCTTGCTTGGAAGGCCCCTTAGAAATGCAACGTGTTATTATTTAATTAATAAACTGGAGCTAATTTCAGTGCCTGCAGTTTCATTGGACAGTCTGCTTGTTTTCCTGTTAATTCTATGTAATGAAGGCAGAAGAGTCAGACACAGAAGTTAGAATTGTAGAAAGGCAGTTTGTGCTGGGCAGGGTAGCCAGGGCCTTGTCTGAGAAGAGAGGTTTTGGAAAGGGGATGAGGTTCCTTTGGAAATGGGGGAGCTTGTGTAACATGAACATGGAGTCACTGTGCTTCTTTGCTATGGATGGCTTTAATCCTGTGCAGGCCCTGCAAGTGTCTGATCAGCCATTAATGGTGCAAATTGTGCCCTTTTAATGTGTGCTCTCCCCCCCATTTTGCACACACAGTTATTTTGCATGGGCAGATGGCATTTGTGCACCCAACACCGCCCTATACCGGAAACCTACTGACCACTATTCCTACCTACATGCCTCCAGCTTTCACCCTGACCTCACCACACGATCCATTGTCTACAGCCAAGCTCTGCGATACAGCCACATTTGCTCCAACTCCTCAGACAGAGACAAACACCTACAAGATCTCTATCAAGCATTCTTACAACTACAATACCCACCTGCGGAAGTGAAGAAACAGATTGATAGAGCCAGAAGAGTGCCCAGAAGTCACCTACTACAAGACACGCCTAACAAAGAAAATAACAGAACGCCACTAGCCGTCACCTTCAGCCCCCAACTAAAACCCCTCCAACCCATTATTAAGGATCTACAACCTATCCTGAAGGATGACCCAACACTCTCACAAATCTTGGGAGACAGGCCAGTCCTTGCCTACAGACAGCCCCCCAACCTGAAGCAAATACTCACCAGCAACCACATATCACACCACAGAACCACTAACCCAGGAACCTATCCTTGCAACAAAGCCCGTTGCCAACTGTGCCCACATATCTATTCAGGGGACACCATCACAGGGCCTAATAACATCAGCCACACTATTCAGAGGCTCGTTCACCTGCACATCCACCAATGTGATATATGCCATCATGTGCCAGCAATGCCCGTCTACCATGTACATTGGTCAAACTGGACAGTCTCTATGTAAAAGAATAAATGGACACAAATCAGATGTCAAGAATTATAACATACATAAACCAGTCAGAGAACACTTCAATCTCTCTGGTCATGCGCTTACAGACATGAAAGTTGCGATATTACAACAAAAAAACTTCAAAACCAGACTCCAGCAAGAGACTGTTGAATTGGAATTCATTTGCAAATTGGATACAATTAACTTAGGCTTGAATAGAGACTGGGAGTGGCTAAGTCATTATGCAAGGTAACCTATTTCCCCTTGTTTTTTCCTACTCCCCCCAATACGTTCTTGTTAAACCCTGGATTTATGCTGGAAATGGCCCACCTTGATTATCATACCATTGTAAGGAGAGTGATCACTTTAGATAAGCTATTACCAGCAGGAGAGTGGGGTGGGGGGAGAGAAAACCTTTTGTAGTGGTAAACAACCATTTTTTCATGCTTTGTGTGTATAAAAAGATCTTCTATACTTTCCACAGTATGCATCTGATGAAGTGAGCTGTAGCTCATGAAAGCTTATGCTCAAATAAATTGGTTAGTCTCTAAGGTGCCACAAGTACTCCTTTTCTTTTTGCGAATACAGACTAACACGGCTGTTACTCTGAAACCATGCTAAAATGGTAAGCTTGTGTCAAAAAACCCAAATCACCCACGTGGGTACAAGCCTCTGGGGTTCTGTTCTGAGGCTTGAGAGAGGAGTGAAGCTGTGGTCTGAGCAGGAGTGGGAGAGAGGACTCCTGGTTTCTGTTGCTGGTTCTGGTAGTGGGGGAGTATGATTCTGTTTCTGGGAGGAGAATGAGGTCTAGAGGTCAGAGCAGAGGGGTTGGGAGTCAAGACTCCTGTGTGTCATAGAGTTTAAATGCAGAGGGGGCCATTAGATCATCTGCGCTGAGCTCCTGTCTTACACAGGCCAGAGACTCTCACCTGGCTTCTGTCCCCGGTTCTGACACTAACTGGTTGTTCAGCCTGGGGGACATCACTTTACTTCGGGGGGAGGGGGGGTGTCACTTCTGCCCTCTGCAAAAGGGAGATCCTCATTATTTTTTGATATTGCCACTGACGGCACGATGGGACCTTTACAGGCAAATAAAAGGCAGTGCCTTTGCCCCAAGGACAAGGTGCCTGAGGGCTGGGGACAAACCCCAGGGCAGGGGCATGGGTTTGAAGCGGCAGAAGAATGAGAACTAGAACAGTGAGGCATAGGGATGGATGATTCCGCATCATGAGGGTAACCCCCCCCCCAAATCTACCATTGTCCTTCCTTCTGTGTATTCTCTTTCCACTTTCTTTGTCCCAATTCCCTGTTCCCTTGGGCACTCATTTGCACTCAGAGTGAGTGGGTGTAAATCACTCCCCACTAGGCATGGTAGCCTTCCACACCCGCTGGGCATGGCTGTCAACGGCCCAGCACTTCCCCCCAGTGGGAGCGGGCACACGCATGCGTTGACCCTATCCCTGTGCCTGCCTTCTGCAGCACAGCAGCTGGGAGCCCCTCTCAGGAGCCTGCGCTTCAGAATCCAAGCCTCAGTGGCGATGTCTACACTGTGGTAAAACACCTGCAGCTGGCCCGGCTCAGCTGGCTTGGGCTCATGGGCTATGGGTCTCTCAAAATGCAGTGTAGACATTAATGCTCAGGCTGGAGCCCCAGACTCTGGGACCCTCCCACCTCACAGGGTCTTACAGCCCAGGCTCCAGCCCCAACCTGAACATATTTTTCACTAAGAGGGTGGTGAAACACTGGAATGCGTTACCTAGGGAGGTGGTAGAATCTCCTTCCTTAGAGGTTTTTAAGGTCAGGCTTGACAAAGCCCTGGCTGGGATGATTTAACTGGGAATTGGTCCTGCTTTGAGCAGGGGGTTGGACTAGATGACCTTCTGGGGTCCCTTCCAACCCTGATATTCTATGATTCTATATACACTGTGCAATTGTACAGCCCCACAGCCTGAGCTGCTTGAGCCCCAGTCAGCTGACATGGGCCAGCCGCGGGGGTTTATTCAGTGTAGACACACCAGCAACGCCCACAAGCTAAACCTGCCCTGTGTGGAGAACTGGTTTCCTTTGATTCGTTTTTGAATTTACCACCTTTCCGTTGCATTGACCATCCCCTTGTTCTGGTGTTGTCAGACAGGGTGAACACCAGCCCCTGATCTACTGTGTTTATACCATGTCACACTTTCAAGGATGTTTTGAACGTGCTTTCAGATCCTTGGCTGAACCTGCTATAGGGGTGAATAATCATTAGATGACAGAAACATAGTTGTTTCTCCTTTTCTGAACATTGAGCCCGTCTCAATCTCTCCCAGTAGCGACTACATTCAGGGTCCAGTTTTCTGTAACACTGTGTCTTCTGTTCCCTGTGCTTACAGGGGTGGGGTGAAGGAACTATCTGGTCTTTACCATCTCTGCTAGGGTGACACCTGCCGCCAGCACAGAAAGGGGCTGGGTTTAAATTCAGGAGCTTACTTTGTCTAATAATTATTAGAGAAATATGTAATAAATTCTGGTCTCATTTGTTTCTGGTTCCCCAATGCAAAGTGATCTCACTGATGGAAGGAGGGGAGGATCCCCGGGTCTCCAGGGCTCTGAGGAACGAGAGATCCCAAGGAGCACCCACACAAGTGTGGAATCAGCTAAGCTGGTTCAAAAACTGTCAGCAAGTAAAAGAAAACATCTGGGGTTCCTACCAAGTCACTGTGAGCTCTCCTTGTTCTTCCTCATCTCAGCCAGACCAGGACTGTTGCCACCAGGTGCCATATCCTCATGGCAGATGTCACCCACAGCTTCCCACCCACCCTGGCACTTGGCAGTAGCTCGCTCCCCACCAGCCTCCTTCCCCTGATTGCTTGGGTGGGATGTGGAGGAAGAATTGGTACTCTCCTGTCTCTGCTCCGGGGAGAGGATTGCTGGATTCAGCTTCTGATGTTTTGGTCTCCCCCAGCAGTTATTTGTTTTTGTTCAGCCCTTTCTCATTCCCCATCTGAGGTTCCCTCCTCCTCCGCACAGGGAGTGACTCCTGTCTGGATTCCGTCTCTGTCCCAGCAGGTGATGGGACGGTGAGTGAGAGCGAGGAGGAGACTCCTCAGCAGGAAGGTCCTGAGCAAGTGGAACCACAGGGGGCACTGTCAGGAGATGCTGAAAGGAACATTTCCCAGAATCCTGGGCAGGGAGAAGCCCGTGAGAGTCAGCAGGGAAACCAGCCGGTGGAGAGATGGGGTGAATCCGCACGCCATGTGGGAGCTCTCAAGCCCAGCATGGGTGGTAGGACGCCGCCCGCAGGCGAGAGCCAGAGCACCTGCACTGAATGTGGGAAGCACTTCAGCCAGAGCTCACATCTGGCGCAGCACCAACGGGTGCACACGGGGGAGCGTCCCTACGCCTGCGCCACCTGTGGGAGGAGCTTTGCTGTGAGCTCTGCCCGGCTCCAGCACCAGCGCAGTCACACGGGTGAGCAGCCCTACCAGTGCCCCGACTGCCAGTGCAGCTTCAGTCGCAGCTCCCACTTGACACGGCACAAGCACTGCCATGTGCAGGAGGGGCCCTGCCATGGGCCTGGCTTGCTGGGCAAGTGCCCCTTCGCCTGCCCAGACTTCAGGCGGACATTCAGCCAGAGCTTAGACCTGGTGCAGCACCAGCGGGTGCACATGGGCGAGCGCCCCTACGCCTGCGCTGACTGTGGGAAGATCTTTGGCCGCAGCTCAGACCTGCGGCAGCACCGGCGCATACTGGGGAGCTCCCCTATGCCTGCCGAGATTGCGGGCACTGCTTCAGCGATGGATCCTACCTCATCAAGCACCAGTGTGCCCACACCGGTGAGAAGCCCTACACCTGTCCCGACTGCGGCAAGGGTTTCAGCATCAGCTCCCAGCTGATCCGGCACCGGCGCATCCACATTGGGGAGTGGCTCTACACCTGCTGGGACTGCGGGAAAAGCTTCAGCCAGGGCACAGACCTGGCCACCGACCAGCGGTCCCACACGGACGAGCGCCCCTACACCTGCCCTGACTGCGGGAAGGGTTTCAGCGACAGCTCCTCCCGCTTGCGGCACCACCGGCTGCACATCCGGGATGCCCCGTGATGGGCTGGTCGCGTGATGCACTGTCAATATTACCCTGACACCTAGGACCAGGCCCCTGTTGTGCTGGGTGCTGTACACCACAGAACAAATTTACCCTGAGAGTTCAATCCTTGAGGGGGCCATTTAGGGATCTGGGGCAAAAATTGGGGATTGGTCCTGCTTTGAGCAGGGGGTTGGACTAGATGACCTCCCGAGGTCCCTTCCAACCCTGGTATTCTATGATTCTGTGAGAGTGCAACTGTAAAACGTGTGTTTAAGTTCCTAGCATGTTGCACTGTCGGAGCCCAATGAACATTGCTGGGAAAAGGTGCAAGGAGGAGACAGAGTGAATCAGCCAAATAAAAAGGCCTTGTGGTGTAACTCAGGGACCGTGTTCGGGTCACACTGGGTAAACAAGAGACAGGTGGGACCGAAAATCCACAAACCAAAATTGGTGTGTCAGAAATTAGGCCTATTGGTAGACAAACTAATGAGGGGCTGAGCTGTTTGGCCTGTCACTCACTTTTGGAGGGCCTCAGAAAGAGACTAGGGGGAAAATGGGGATGGATGGATCCAAAATGCGGCTGGGGAAAGGGAAGGAACAAGCATCACCATCCTGGTGCCACCCTCACCGTCTCCTGGGACCCTGGGCATTCGCCATCCTGTCCTGACCAGATGAGCCAGAGAGAGGGACCTAGGGACACCGCCTCTGGCTAAGTCCCAGACACCACCTGGGCTGGCCTGCACCAAAAGCTCACATCGGCATAGCTGTGTCTCTCCAGGGTCTAAAAACCCCACTCAGAGAGCTGTAGCTCTGCTGCCCTAGCCCTGGCCCAGGCGTTGTTTGGGGGATGGATGGATTTTTTCCATTGATGTAGCTACTGCCTTCGGGAGGTGGATTACTAGTGCTGACCGGAGAGCCCCTCCTGGCGCTGTACTTCAGTGTAGACACTCGCTACAACAGCATGTGCAGCTGCAGCACTGCCGCTGTAGCCTTCTAAGTGTAGACACAGCTGGAGACTTTGTCGAGCCCACCCCATTCTGTCCGTTTCCTTCCCCACCGTTTCTTTTCTTTCCTAGTGCTCTCCTCTTGCCTTCTGTGTAATGAGCTTAGCTGCCCAAGACTGCGTGCTTTGTAAGAGCGCTGGGAGCCTGTGACCAGAGACAGCTAAAAGCAAGGCAGCCCGATGCTGGTGCATGGTTGCTAAGTCTCAGAGTGGCTGATCACACTCTGTGCTGGGCCAGTATTTCTGCTGCCATGAGGTTCCAAGCATGAGTTGGTGCCCGAGACAGAAGCTGCATTTTCCTGCTTTGCTGTTTGTTTCCCTCCCCTTGTGTGTGTCTCATTGTGTCTTCTTAGGCAGTGGGATCTGTCTTTAACAACAGTCCATTTTCTCCTTTCCCCACAAGGACAGTTAGCATCTAAGAGATTGTCAGACCAGGGGCTTTTACTTCTAAAAACTCGCTCCAGCTAAAGGAACAAAGGCTGTTGTTGAAATAAAAGCCTCTTTGTACTGAGATTTCCAACGCTTTAGCTGCTTTTCCTTCTTTTCTGTCTTGTTGGTAGAAGATTAAAAGGATTTGTAGTGGGTTGTTTGCCCTGGCACTGAGCAGGCTGAGCTGCTGTGTACCAACCCTGGACCTTGTTGAACACGGTTTAATGTTGAACAGTTTCAGGGTCATGTTAACATCTTTGACACCTTGGGCCCCTGCATTCCAACTAAATTAATGGGCAGGGACTCAGGGAGCAGGGGTATCTCCCCCTGACTGCTACAGCCTCATGTCCCCTTGGACAAGGGTTATGCGGGGAATCCTGCAAGGAGGTGGCAGGAAAGCTCAGGGCTCAGCTTTGGAGGACACACTGGGGATGGGGCCAGTGCTAGAGTTTTGGGAATCTGGAATTTCTGGATGGGGGCTGCAGCTGCTCCCAGCTTCCCAGCCATGCTGCACATTACCTTGCCTGTGCGACAGGCTCCAACCACACAGCAGGCAGCTGTGCAGGGCGGCATGGTCAGGTCTGGGTGACAGGGAGACTCCAGACATGGCAGACGGACTCAGCGGGCAAGGGCAGGCCAGGCACAAGAACCATGCTTTCCAAGGAGAGGTTACTGCAGCACAAAAAGGACTAGTCCCATACAGCTGGGCTAGGCCTGCCCTCCTGTGGTGGGAGGGAGAATTGTCTGTAACATAGAAACACAGGGGTCATAACTATCACTGTGGTATTGTTACCCAGTGGCCCGCAAGGGTTAAAATGCTGCCCCGGAGCAGCACAGGAGACTGGAGATGTGTTCTCTGCGGTAGTCTGAATGGGTGGTTCAGGAGTGGCTGGGTCCAGCCCATATCAATGGAAGACCTGAGAGAGACACTGGAAACCCCAAAGACTGAGCAATTGGTGCCTATAAGCAGGGGTTCCCAGCGGGCTGAACGTGTGACCGCAGCACGGCTTTGCAGCAAGGCCAATGGGCGGTGGTGACAGGAGACACGAGGAGAACTGGCCTCCCCAGTCTCTTATCTGGGACAAAGGCAAACAAACAGCTAGACAGAGGAAGGCAGGATGGATCGTACAGCAGCAAGACCAAGGGAGCCGGGTACCGGCTTGTCTGGACTATGTCTGAACTGTTGCTTCGCTACACTGCCTGAAGACCGTCCCACACGGTATGCCAGGGGACTAGGACCCACCTCTGATTTGAAATGGGTTCAAGGAGTCACTGCAGATACCTGCTGTGGGGCATGGATTTCTGAGGGAGTCAGCCTCTTTGACCAGGAATTGCTCACAGTTGGACTTGCTGGACAGCATTCACGGGGATAAACTGGGATTACGTCTACACAGCAAGCAGAAACCCATGGCAGCAAGTCCCAGAGCCTGGGTCTACAACAGAGATCCCCAAACTTTGCGTTCGGGGGCACAATGGGGGCTGGGAGGGAGTGCCACCCAGTCCTGCTCTGCCCTCAGCTCCGCTCTGACCCAGTCCAAGCCCTGGCCCCTGGCTTCTGGCCTGGCTGTGGCATTGGCTCCTGACCCCCCACCCCACCCTCACCCACAGCCCCCAGCTCCTGGCCCCAGCTGTAGCCTCAGCCCTTGGCTCCTGATCCCAAACTGCAGTCTGGCTCTGGACTGGCTCCCTGCCCCAACCGCGTCCCCCTCCTGGCGGGGGTTGGGGGTGGGGCACAGGCAGTTTACATTGTGGGTAAGAGAGGGTGTGACGTAAAACATTTGGGGAGCACCATCCAGCAGCGTGGGGCTCTGGCAGGTCTTGGAGCTGAGACTAGCTGTGTAGACATGGGTGCTCAGGCCTAAGAAGGGCAGAGGGCTTGAGATCCTGAGCATCCATGTCTACACAGCTGCTTTTAGCAGCGTAGCACAAATCACGCAGCCCACGGATGTGGAGCCAGACTCTGAGGCCAGGCCTCGTGTGCTGTGATGGAGGGAGTCTCCGAGATGGCTGGAGCTGGTGGAAAGTGTCACTCGCAGATGCTGCTGTGTGAATGTGGTGTCCAGGAGGAATCCCAGAGCTCCCTGCCAATCCCATGGCTCCTGGGTTTTGTACTCCCTGCGCTGGTGTCAGGCACAGAGCCCCAGGTGCCCATGGCTGGTAGCAGGAGCTGACAGCAGGTGTCCTGGGAACCAGCCTGGGACCCAGCCAGGCAAGCATGCGCACAGCAGAAGGCAGTGGGCGCAGGATTAAGGAATCAGGGAGGCAGATGTGCTCACTGTGTCTCTCCTGGATTAACATAACATTAACATAAGATGTGGGATGGGCAGGCTGGAGACAAACTGCACACCCTTGGGGAGTGTCTGTACTGGGAGGCAGGGGAGCCCACTGTGTCCATTGTCCCCCTAGTCTGTTCTGGCAAGACATCTCCCCCTGTGCCCCCCGCCTTGCTCCAGTAACTCCTCAGCAGGCAGCCCCTGCTCTTGCTCCCAAGCTGAAGGGGAAGTGGGAGCGGGAGCCAAGAGAGCTCTGGGGGGAAGCCAGTGCTGCTGAGAGAGGTCTGGGGCAGGGCAGAGATGCTGGTGCCAGGCCTTTCCCAGAGGGCAGTGGGGTGACCCTCCATGCGGAGTCAGCCCTTCCTGGGACATCTCGCCCCCTTCTCTGCACTGCGGCATTCACAGAGTTAACCCTGCTGTGACACCTGGGTGTGAGCTCTCAGGAGCGGTCCAGCATGGGGAGCCCTGCTGCTTCTGCCTCTGGAGAATTGGGCAGGTGTGGAGGCACCATCTCCCCTGTGCCCCAGCTGGGGACAAAGCTGTCAGGTGCACCCGAGTGTCCCAGCTCTCCCCACTCCCATGCAGGGAGCTGGCTCCAAACACTCATGTTAGACCCAGAACAAGCCCAGAAATGCATCTCTCTCACATCTGGGGCCAAGAGTCTGGCTCCAAGCAGCCTGACCATCTAACCCAGCCCTTATCTTCTCCCCAAGAAACTCCAGCACGGTCTAAAAACACAACCTGTGCCATTGCTAGGCTCCTCCCACCTTCTGTGAGCAAAGCAGGGTAAAATATCCATCTCTGGGGTCGGGCTGTGAGACGCAGCATCAATGAGGAGGCATGGGGGAACATCCCAAACAGCCTCAGCCTGTCGCCCAAGCCTGGAGGGGAGTTGGCTAGCACTGGGCACTCGCTGGGGACAGCTGCTCTCTGGGTAGCAAAGACCCTGCTGCCTCCCAGGGCTCTGTCAGCTACTGCAGCAGCTCTAGGACTGCAACTTGTCTCTGCTGAGGCCTCTCCTGGTCCCCAGGACCATAGGACACCCACCAGCCCTCCCGGCTAGGAGGGTTTGGTTGTGAACTCTGAGAATCTGGAGGCTGGGGCCTGGCCCTTCTCGGCTCTGGGGTTCCCATAGTTCTCTGTTCCCACATAAATCACCTTGGAGCCCAGTAACCAAGCCAGGTCCCATCGGAGGATTCTCCTCCAGTCCTTTCACATGCACTTGCAGGAAAGGCTGAGGCATGGGAATGGGTCTTCTCAGGAACCAGCCAAGGCTCTGCTGCATGGCACACCTTCTCCTGGCATTTCTCCC